GCAGTTTTTCCTCAATGGGCCATAAATCATTCGAGACGATGAGCGTCACAAAGATCAAATTTAAAATTGATAACTGTTTGATAATGGCCTTAGGCGACGCGATATGTATGCGAGAAGCAGATTACAAAGATGATAGGAAAACGGACGCGATCATAACGAGAATAGATGGAAAACCAATGGTAGGACCTCTTGAGATCGATAAGATGAGAATAGAATGATCATGTTCATAGGACGAATAAAAATTATGGAAAATGTCTATACAGTCAAATTTTCTATTCTATAAATTAATCTATACTTTATTAAATTTTATTATTATTTGTATTATTGTTTATTTTGAAAAAATTAATTACTTCTAATATCTATTATATTCAATTATAACAATCCTCATTTTTTAAAGAACAAATAACATATAACACATACATACATATATATATATATTGTATATATGATAATAATAAGAAATTATTATATCTAATTTATAAACGCATTTAAAGTCAATTAAATTCTCTAATGTTTCCGTTAACACAGTTTTAATAATTTAATGGACTGAGCGTTTATATCGGCTAGCATTTATTTAAATATTATTATTCTGCATCAATGTATTATGTTGTATTTGGGGAGATTTCTACACGTGAAATATCAGACTCTAATGAAATTTATGTTTCATATATTACACAAGTCCTGCCTTGTATATTCTAATATACGTAAAAATATAATGTATCGAATGTTAATGTATCGAATTTTCTACAGTTGTCAAATTTTTTTTTATATTCTATTAATAAATCTATTAATATAAATCTTAAATAAAAATTTTCTTACGTAATATTTTTAAAATTAATTATAATTAGACTTTTGTTGACGTGTTTTTACTTCTAGAGTTTGTTCGCAATAAATAAGTCTTTTTTTTCAGAATAAATTCTTCATGTGAAATAACTCTGTAACTATCGACATTTTGATGTCCAAATGGCTACCATTCTTTTCAATTTGGCCTCAGTTTTGTTTTCAACAAACAAAAGAATGACCATTAGAATGCTTCGTGTGTCTATCAGGGCCACGTTAATCCACGTCCATAAGTTGAAATATTTCGAGCACGTTCACATGTTGTAATGTTACCTAAAAATTTTTTCAGAAGTTATATTATGTCAATTTAAAAATTAATTTTTTCAATACTTATTTTAAGAAATCCTTCATGTATTTGATGTATAAAAATAACAAAAAGAAACACAATAAAAATATAAAAATTAAAGAATATAATAAATATATATTATGAGTCATAAGAGTATCAACTCGTGTTCGGATATATGAAAAATAGAAAGCAAATTTAGTCTTCTTTCACTATAAATTGCGTTATGAATCATCTTGTTTGTCTAGTGACTTTAAATCATGAATAATATTATTTTAATGTTTAATTAAAAAAAAATATATCTCTATATATCTTTAAAATTGTCCGCCGTGGACTACAGCCCAATACATATCTTAATACGGCACTATCTTGCCTATTACCGTAAAAATAGATTTAAAAAGTTTATTTCAAGTAAAAACAAAAACTCACACTCCTATGACATGCAGAAAATCAATTTTTGTAATAAAGATATTATAGTATTTGAAGAGAAAAAAATTATTAGCATTTGATACAATATATAATATAATACAATGTATAATTAAGAAATGTTAAGTGCACATACGAATCTTTTAATGTATCTCAGAAAATTATTCAAAAAGTTTCTAAATTATTCTCAGTGCTAAATATTCTATAATATTCCAACAATCGATATTTTTTACAGTTGAAAAATATGATCGCAAGTTTCGTACAAATTGTATGAAGAAGTCTGGCGAAATCCAGTATCATGGGACCATTAATCTTCGTCTAGCGTCGTCCTTTGCCATCAGATTAGGACCCTTCTTAGATTCTTTCTATATCTTTCGCAGTGGTGTAACGGAAAGGCAAATATTAAAAGAGTCTCTCAACGAATATAAGCTCCTCTAAAGATAGTTGATTTAATATTGAAGTTAATATTACTGTCAAGAGATTAGATCTCAAATTGAATATTCAATTTAATTAACAAACATAATTTTTTGCAAACATAATTGTTAAGAAAAAATCTTGATAATAAGTCAAACAATTAAATAATTACTTTCTAAAAAATATATGAATTCGTAATATACGCATTTGCCTTCGAAATGTTTTATCTTTCTCTTTAACTATTCGAGTGAGCAATTATGAAAAATTATTGGCTCGTAAATATCAAATGTAGATTTAAATACAGATTGAATTAACGTAATTACCGTGAGATAGTCAAGATTAAATCATTTTGTGGCGAGAATATTTTACATTAATTGTATGACGTTATCGAATCTTTCTCTTCTTCTCATTCTGAAAATCTCCGATATCGGAACGCTGCAAGATCTTTTATGCTATTGTTTGCATATTACGGGACGATCCATTTTGGCTGGATATTATAAACGAATAAATCCAAATTCGTACATTCGTCTGACGCTGTATTTAAATTGTCAGGTTTATCAGCATGTAGACGTGAAATTAAAGACATTATCGATGATGCCGTCGCTGCTGAAAAATTCACGAATGCCTGCGATTCTTTTTCGTGACCGTGATATATCATTATCTTGCAGGTTTTGTTTATGAGAACATACAGTCACACATGCAGCCTATCTTAAGTTGAGATTTTTAATAAGCACTCTTGAAATTCACTCTTTTAAACATTCTCGTTAAAAATGAAATACAGTAGATATAAGCATGAATTTCGCAATTCTATGCAAATAATACACGCATTTTGAATAATACACTTTTTATCGAATATTATAGCAACATTTAGATTATACTAATAACGTTTAAATAGAATAAAACCTAGAAACTGAAAATATAAAAAAAATATATACAAATTTTAACATTCTCATTATTGTCCGTCAGAATTTCCAACGATATCCTACAACGAGATATTAATTTCAAGCGTTCCATCCCGTACATTGTTGATGGCTGCAATGCTGAGTGCATTAGAGCAAAGTGCATCAGGTCCGTTGCGTTATGCCATTATGAGGATTACTAGCGGGAAATATCTCTCCTGTTTTTCTCCGCACTCGCGTAAAATTGTCTGGTTAATTGTATTTCATTGTTACCCCGCGCGGTTTGTTGCATCTGTGAGTGTACGTGCACCGAGAAAAATACGCCGATGTGTTCTACGGAATTGCTCGTTAACTTTACGTGCCCCGTTGTAAGCGAGATAAAAAAATCACGAGTGTGCAACATCCACGTGAACGTTTTATCAATCCAATATTTAGATACAGGGCGTATCAAAACGTTGACGGAAAGTAAACTTAGTTACATTGAATGACAAATAATATTCCGTTATTAACCAGCATTTATAAATCATTATAAATGAGCTTATACATATTTATCATTTTATTCATATAAGAAAATTTATTAAAATATTTCTTAAACTTTTATTTTTTTTATCTCAATAATTTATATGTGATTGATAAATCTCTCTAAGAATAAATAAATACTATAAAACATTTCGAGATTAATAATTTTGTTATATAATAAATAAAATAAGAAAAATAATCTTTTTAATGATTTAGAAACGCTATAATAGATATTATTTGTCGTTTAATCTAAAAAAGTATTTGTACATGATTAAAAATTTGTCGAATATACTCTTAATAATATTAATTAATACTTTAGGATAGAAATACATAAAAAGAACAAAACAATATAATTTAAAGTATTTTTCTCCAATAATTAATTGCCAAACGCGAATAAGTACAAACGATTCTCTCGAAGATACTAAAAATGGATAAACAAATCAATTAAATCGTTGATTCCAATTAATGACTTCACAGCCACAGCAGAAGTTATTCATGTCATCAAATTATTTTCATTCACTGTTGATTGTCATTTATTATGCATTTCGACATTTTCCATGTAATTGCCTTCATTTATAGCCTTGTTATCACGATAACAATACTGAGGTACCCGATGACAATGATACAAATGCAGTTTGAGAATAAGCGAATTTCGATATTTTCATAATGCAACGTCGCATACAGATCCTCACATATTAATGCGCAGCTCTGTAAAAATTACTTAACATACATATATCGTTACATTTTGCATCCTTGTAATAATTAATTATTTATAATTTCTTATAATGATATAATTATTTTCCATACGCACTCAAAAAATAATATATTAAAATATATAAAGCATTAGTAACAAAAAGATATAATATGAGAAATTATATTAAAAAAACATAGAACGCTAAAAAAATTTCATAGATTTCTTTTTGATTAAATTTTACCTTGATAAAAATTTCATTTTAGATATTTTCTTAATTTACAACATTAAATATCTTATACATTAAATATCAAGAATAGTACAAAATTTATGCATAAAATAACATTAAGCTGTCTCTTTATGATTAGCAATCTTTGTTAAAATAATAGGCGGATTAATAAATAACTTTGTATAATATGATGAAAGATTGTACCTACTTATGAGCCGCTACAAATATGTATTATATTTCTAATTTATTTTAATTTAGAATTAAATGAAGAGAAGAAGAGAAATGCTTCTTTACATATGATAAAAATGATAAAGTATGTATGTGTTTCATGCTTGTAATATTGCAAAGAGAGAGAGAGAGAGAGAGAGAGAGAGAGAGAGAGAGAGAGAAAAGACAAGATATTTAATTTAGTCTTAATTAAAATTTACAATAACTTCCGTATGTTATATGCGCCATGAGACTGTATTGTCGATTTAAATATTAAAATTCCATAAATTTTGTTTTGTGTGCTTCCAAAATAAAAAAATTA